TCTTGAGGGAGGTAGTGTTAGAACTGTGCTCTGAAAACTGATCTAACCTTCTGAGATGAAAAGGGGAGAATCTCAGCACAAATACTTATGGCCCGTGAGTTCCAAGACAAAAATCAAAAGGTTACACTCATGCACTTGTCTTTGTAGTCCTTATGAATAGCTTTTGCCTAGTGTTAACTAAACATTTTTGCAGCAAAACAAAACAGTTAATAAAAAAAGCAACTCCTACTTATAATGAATGGACCTTAGAAGTAACTTACTCCACTGAACTGTTAAGAAGATTAAACTCTTGCTCTCTCTCCAAGTTCTGAAACAATTCTCATGGAAGACAAGGGATTGAGGCAGCTGGAACAAAGCATTACTGATGGAATTGTTATTTGAGGATATGACTGATGTCTGTGTGCAAGGAGCTTCCTAATTTGCACTGCAGCATCAGGATGGAGTACCGCCAGCCATGGGCCTTGAGATCATCCACTGCAAGTAGGCACAGAGAGGCAGAGCTGGCAGTTTGTGCTCTGTGGGTGACTCAACTCAGAAAGGAAGATAAAAGGCTTTGCTTGCTTAGTTCTCCTTCCAATTTAACCATTCCAGTTTGGTTCTCCCTGCCTCTATTTTCTCCTGGGAAAAGAGGGAGGCAATGCACATGGTGGTAGGGGAGGATGAGAGGTGGGTCAGGACTCAGCCGTGCATGCTATCCATATGGCACTTGCCCCTACAGGGCGGAGCACAGCAGGAGTGGAGAAAGGGCTCCATCTCGCCTGCCTTGCAAATCTAAGACACAGTCCCATACTGCCTTTGGGGACAGGGTGCTCCTTTCCACTGCATGCTTTTCAGGAAACCATAACGTTTACCTTCAAGCTTCTCCTTCCAATGAGAATGAAAGGGACAGGGGCCCAGGGACAGGTAATTACAAGATGAACTCCTCACCATAGATGGAACTTATAAACCCTCCACCTTCATTTTCAAAACCCTTTTAATAAAGAGCTGAAGTGAGAAGTCCCAAGTGGGGAGCCATGTTCAGAATGCCAGCTGCCTCGTCTCCGGGAAGGACTGGACTGTGAGAACCCTACCTGGTCACAAGGACAAGGCACAGAGAGGTCGAGTCCTGACTCCCCTCTGTTCACACTGCCCTCCTCCCACACCATAAACCTACATATTTCTTTTCAGAAGTTACAAATAAAGTGCTAATTGCATCTTGTGTGTGGGTGAGGGAATGATGGGAAATGATGTGTTTCCCACGCCTCTGTCCTTTACTCTGACTTAGACGGACACGCACACCGTGACGAGGGAATATAAAGGCCTGTCCTGCCATTGGGTCCACCCTCAACCACTCCTGCAAGAAAGGACTGCTGGCCCCCATTCCTCAGATGCCATGATTTCTGTCTCCAAATACCTCACATGGGACAGTTGTGCAGGGCCCACACAGTGGCCCATGATGGGACCTGTTCTCCTGTTGGATTGACTGGCGACTTCTGTCTTTAATCAAGAAGTGATCCTCTTGTGTTTTTCCTTTATTTTTTCAGTATAGAGGACTGAAGCCAGAGCCTTAGCCCTGCACTACATCCTCAGAGCCTCCCCCCTTTTTGAGGCAAGGTCTCACAAGTTGCTAAATTACATGGGTTGGCTTTGAACTTGTAATCCTCCTGCTTTAGCCTCCTACACTGCTGTGATTACAGGCTTGCACCACCAAAGCCAGCCAAGTGAGCTTTCTTGGGTGATATCAGGTCACGCACCCATTAAGAATCTTCATTCAATTGTGGACATCTTCATTACTTGGTAATTTGCTAGCATGCTCTGTTTGTATTCTGGCACAAAATTGCTAATGTCTCCACATTTGGAGAAATGGATTTCATCGGTGCTGTTTGTATGACACAGAGTGAATTATCCAATTTAGGATAGAAATCCAGCCAATGTTTTCTTTGAAATATTCAGGTCATTTCGATCTCCTTTGGCATCCCTGTTCTCCATTATGAATACTCCTTTCTTGGGTCATTATGTTGAGCAAAGTAAAGATCCTGATGTGACAACATTTTTAAAAAATGTATTTAGTACAAGATCTACAGGGTCTCAGTGCACAGATTGGACTCATAGTGATCTTCCTGTTTTCAGCCTCCCAATTCCAATCTACCACACCCAGTGCAATGCACAGTGAGAATAAAGACACTAAGGCATATTTGTAGTTTTGGGGAGCTGAAGTGGTCCTAAGTCCAGCCATGATGATGGCTATCTGGAACAAATTCCTTGATCCAAGGCTGAACCTGGGTTTTATTCATTCATGAAGAAAGGAGTGGAGGCCTGCTTTCACCTCTGCAATACACAGAGAGAAAGATAATAGAGAGTAACCTGCTTTACACAATTGAGATAGCATCTAATATTTGGGGGTCTGTACTTGGGCTCTGGTGTGTAATCTTTCAAGCTCCAGGAAGTCATAGGCTCTATCTCAAGGCTCAATCCCAACCGACAGCCTGGAGCATTGGCTCATCATCCCGTCTTGCTCCTGCTCACATTAGGGAGCAGCAGGTGGGGGTTCCAAAGAAACATAGCTGCCACTTTCAAAGACTATCACCAGCATCTCAGCTAGATGGATATGCACTTCGTAAAGCCAAATGAAAAATTCTACCAGCTCTGTACGTGGAAATAGGGTCATACTCAGCCAAAATGGAGGTAAGTGCTCATCTTTTAAGGATTGTTGCCCCATTGGTCCTCCATGCACATGACACAGTGTATGTATGGGGGACACATTTTGGATTAGAAGACATGTGAATTACTGTATCTATTTTTTGCTCCACATTACTGTATTCTTATATTCATGATACAGTGGTTTTAAAGTATTTATAAAATATTTATAAAACTGAATAATATTCTCCATTACCTTCCATTCTAAAATAAAATAATACTTAGAATAAAAATGTGTTTTATTGCAAGAAATGATTTTAACCTCACTTTAACAAAGACACGGTACACTTAAGTGACAATATTTTTTTGATAAGATAATGTTTCTTTGATACTAAGCTAAGGTACAAATGTACAAGTAATTTTAATGTCCTTTGGTGTTTACTTCTTTTATTGTACAACACTAACAAAGAAAGTGTGTTGTATTATGCTTTTAATCTAGGACTTTACCACTAATTCAGGGAAAACAATAGTAGAAACATTGTACTAAAAAGAAGCTTTAATATCTAATTATTTCAATGATGTTATTCTATAATAAAACTTACTTTGTTGCCCATTATTCTCAGCATTACAGATGTAATAGACTGAGCTGTTCTGAAAATATAGTTTTAAAGGCCCCGGGTCATATACAATATATATGTTTATATATATGTTTATATATATTTGTTAACCAAATAAGCTTTTTCTTCACTCGGCAAGCTACAATTATCAACACTTTGTTCAGTCATAAATAATTAGTGGTTTATTTATGATTTCTGAGATGGAAGAAGGTTGGAATGCTATATGAAAACACTGAAGAGAGACTTTTAAGAAGCTGCTCTTGAGGAGGTCTTAAAATAGCTTAACAGGTGGGGACTGTTCTAAATATCTTAGCATGAAACAGCAGTGCTAGCTTTCCACCCAGTAGTTATCAAAAGAGACCTACTTACTTGGGAGCAAAGACTGAGTTCTCACAGAGGAGAGAAATTTGTCTCTTATTTGTTTTTTTTGGAAGTAGCTTTTATTTTACAATACTACCTGTGCCTATATTTGACAAATGTTTTTGAGTCTTTAACAAATTTTAGCTGTCATTTATGCAGTTTAAAATTTGAAGCCATATTTGTGGCACTTACCTGTAATCTCAGCACTGAGAGGCAGAGATGGGAGGATCCCTGTTGAGTTCCAGGCCAGCCTGCACCACATTGAAAGTCCTTGTCTTACAGTGCCATAGAAAAGTACTTAATTATACTATAATCGGTAGTTTCTTTGAAACATTGGCATAATAAGGTTTCTTCTTTGAAGATATTTTAAGAAATATAAAATTAAACACTTAACCTAATAGAGTAGAATATAATATCAAATGTCCATATTTTTCTCATCATGTAAGAGAAATGGAGATCTGTCCTCATTGTCGAGCTATGCCTTGGATTCATCAGCCATGCATTTGAGCAGCCGGAATGTTCTGTATGAAGTACCACACCACACAACCCGCCATTGGCTCCTCACAGAGCTTGGTGAAGCAGCCCAGCAGTTACCGGAATTGAATTGATTTGAGAAAATTTATGGCTTCAGCCACCTTTCTTCGTCGTGTCACTTACATAATACTTAACCCAGAAAGCACTGTGGGCATGATCCCTGGCCACTGAGTCAGGCTGAGAGAACATAAGCTGCAAGTTATTCCCGATGAAGTACCACTGCTGCTGGAACGCAGGAGTCTTAGGCATAGTGGGGTGTGTTGGGGACCCCCTGGCTTGCATTTATTGCCACCTTCACTGTGAGTGGTGACCAGTTCAGCTCATACAAGAGATCTCTTCCATTACCCATCTCCTGCCTAAACATCACCTGTAGAAATTTGTCTTTTCTTCATGAACTGATCATTATAGTGACAGATAGGTATTCACCAGATTTACTGAATGAGAAATATCTTTATTTCAAACTGCATATTTTCGAAACTGTATTCACATGTTACATTGATATTAAAAACACAAAGATAAACATAGTAGCCAAAACTAAAGTTAATTCATTCTTTGAAGGACACAGAACCTTTAAAATACAAACAGAATGAAATTACAATTAAATTAAAATTTTAGTAAGAATTCATGTTTTTCTTTCCTACTTTAACAAATATATATAAAATGGAAAATCTCTCAATTTTTTTCTCAACAATAAGAGGACAATAAAGTATAGATATTTTAAATATATTATAACCCTCAAACAGTAAAGGTCATAAAACAAAAGTACTAAGTAGTACACTTGAAATGAATATTAATATTTTACTGCTTGCCCATGTGATTTCATACTCAATTTGGCCTAGCATATATTAATACGAAAGACTCATTATGCAAATAAAATACAAATTTTTTGTTTTCAAAGAATTTAAAGCTACTTCATTATTTATCGATACTGTAAGAAATTCTGAAGTAATGTTGGTAGCTGCAGCTGGGACATGAGATGCAGTCTTGGCCTTCCTATGCAGTTACGGATACAGAGTCGGCAAAGTTGGCAAAGAGAGCTTGGGGTGGCTACAAGAAAACAGGAATACATTTGTTAATTAAAGTCAAAATGAACTTTATAATTAGTAAGTTACATAAAAGTGATATACCATTCAAAGATTTTTACTAAATGAGGATAGTAAGACCAGTACGCTATGGAAATTTATTTAAGTATTCATATGCTTTTATTTAAGATCATATAACTGAGATCTCATGTTATTAAAAACACTATCATCTTCAGGAATATGAAATTATTGTTGCACGCAAAGCCACAAGAACAAATTCTTCTTTTCAAAAAGGTATAAAACAAAAGCCCTAGAAGTGTTATGTACTAAGTGGGGTAATTTTAAAGTTGTATTTTTCCTTACCTCTAATTTTTAACTAAAGGAAAATTTTTGTACTCTGTCAACTGAGTTTAATAAATTCTGTTTCAAGGGCCGGCCAAATTGCTCAACAGGTTAAAGCATCTACAAGCAGGCACAGGGGCCAGGGGGTTAGATACCCCCCACCCTCCCCCATCCCCCACCTGCTGTGCCAACCCTGCCCCCAGGGTGCACTGAAACAGCAATTGAGACTGAGCATCATGCTTGTAATCCCAGCTCTTGGGAGGCTGTAAACAGGCAGATCACTATGAGTCCGACTTAGTAGTGAGGCCCTGAACACTCTGTAGACCCTTCCCTAAAAGTACAATAAATAAATAAATTAATAAATTAAAATAAATTATGTTTTAGAGAAAAAGTCTTAAGAGTGAACGTCTTTCCTTCCCGTGTTTCATCAGCATGTTACAGAAGATGCATGGTTTTACAAGACGGGATATCTTTCCAAATAGAAATGACCAGACCTTGTAGTAGAACTACATATTATGCATTTGAAAAACAGGCTAAGTAAATGTAACTAACAAAATGAATAAGAAAGCTTAGATACGACAAAAAAAAATTTAAAAACCACATTTTCTTCATAAATAAGCCTAAGTTGAAAAGTTCTATTGTCAGAAAAAATACACCAAATTATATCTCATTATCTTAATTTACCTGCTAGCAAAAGTTTTTAATTCCATCTGTTCTAAGCCAGTTTGTCTGTGGGTTTTGTCAGTGTCCACACCTGTCCCTCCTACCTTCATGCTGAAGCAGAACTCTTTCCACGACGCTATTAGAGGTAGCTACATCTATAGGTTTCAAAAACTCCGTGTTTTTTGCATTGATATCTGCTCCAAATTCTAGCAGCAAGCTTACGATTTCTACACTGGATTGCTGAGCAGCAGCATGTAAAGGAGTATCCCAGTATTTGCCTTTCTGTACGTCAGCACCTATGTACAAACAGCAATGATAAATTCATACAAAAATTATTAGAGGCATCAGTTACCTGTTGAGGGGAAGCAAGAAAGGTAATTAAGGTTACAAAGGAGACCTCTATCTGATATTAGTTATTTATTTACACGTATATTACATATACACTTTTCATATAGTCATTACATGCACATATTACGTGTATATATATATATGTGTTTTGACACAGGGTCTCGCTATGTAATTCAGGCTGGCCTCAAACTTACTGTATTCTAGATGGTCCTCTAACGACTACCATTCTGACCCAACAGCCCAGATGCTAGGATCACAGGTGCATACTGCCACATTTGGCACATACTGTCTAAAATAAAGGCTTCAACTTGTACGTTTAGAGGGGTACACACATATATGTTTGAAAGTTCTCGCAACAAGATGAGATATACAAATTTCTAAATGATTCCAAAATTAATCACTCTAATCAAAGCAGAGCACGATTAAGTTCATGCATATTTATTTTCGTCATAAATGGAAGCTCTTAAGATGGTCAATAATTTATTATTTTTATTCTTATGTTCAAAGGCAATAAAGTTCTTTAGCTTTTTAAAACTCACAGTACTAGATATGTAAGCCATTTGGGTAAAATTGTAGCTTTTCTTAACCCTACTCAATCATGTAGTTTAAATCAATGAATGAAATACTGACATGGAGCCTCTTAAGTAGAAATTATATCCATGATATCTTCATATAAAGTAACTTTTTAAAAAATGCTTACATTAAAAAATACAATCCTACATCAGAAATTATCTAATTTACAGTCATTTTATTTTAGTGCATGGCCTAACAGATGGTGGAAATCCATGTGCAATAAATAAACACAGCTCAACATTGTGAAATAATAATCTCATTTTCTAGTACATAAAGAGTTACAATACCAAGGAATCTCTAGCAATAAAAATGTATAAGTTGTTTTCTACTTTGTTTTCTGACTCTGTTTGTAAAATTAATGATTATCTACAAGACACAGCATTTTTACGAGTTCCTTTATGAGCCTCCTAGTAACAAATTTCAGTAAGTGCAATCATTTTCAATTTTTTAGGAGATATAAAATGTTCAGTGAAGCAGTTATGTTCCATAGCAAAACTTCCCTGGGGAAATCACAAACATTGTGGGTTATATCATTTTTATGGTAGACTAGGACCTGACAATAACAATCAATTACTAACAGCAGCTTTTCAATATTTTTAAAAACTCATAAAATATGTGGTGAAAAAAAATCATAGCAACATGGAAATAGCTGACAAAATATACTCTCTTGATTATACCAAGTTTGGGGAGAGCATGACTAGAAAATAGCAATCTGTCAACAGTCATTAACAGAACTCACGTTTAAGGCTCCAGGTGTGAAGGGAGTGAAGTAATAGATACAAATCCTGCTTGCAAGAAATGTATAACTTAGCTGAGATAAGGTAAGTAATGTATAGTAAATGGATTTGCTAAAAATATAT